CGACTATAGTCGCCCGTAGTACCTGAGTGGCATCACATGGAGAGCGACTATAGTCGCTCGTAGTAGCGAAAGGGTTAAAGCGATTTTTGGGATACCTTGTTTATTGGAGATATTTATGAATTGATATTTCTTAGAATTATAATTTAAATCATAGGATAAGAGTTTAAAAACTAATAAAAAATCATATCACTTTTACGATTGTATTTTTGTTTTTTTCAGTACATGTTGCACTATTTGAGATCTCTGCAAGCTTGGTTTGGAGAAGAAGAATGGTCAAAATATCCAGTAGCCAAAACCAGTATGGCTTTATTACAAGATTTTCATCATTCTCCTGCTATACTAGATTATTCACCACATTTAATAGCAATAGCATGTATTAATCTTGCTCTACAAATTTATGGTGTAGTTGTTCCATTAATGGATGAATGTGATCAACAACCTTGGTTTAATGTAAGTAATTAATAAAAATCTTTTTTAAGTTACTAACATTAATTTTACAATAATAAATAATAATAATTTAACATTACAGGTTTTCTGTAAAGATTTGACAAGAGATAAACTTTGGGAAATAATGGAAAAAGTCATGGCTGCATATGATGAAGAACCCGAAACGAGAGATAATTAATATCTCAGAAAGATGATTTTAATTTTTAATAATATTGCATAATGTGAAAAATAAAAGATAAATAATTTTTTTGAAAAATTAATCATAAGAATATAATAAGTACGTTTGTATAAAATAAAGTTATGATAAAGTAGCATTCATTTCATTTTACGAAGCATTATTTGAAAGAAGATTTTTCATCTGAGCTTTACAGAAATAGCTAATTTTCTCTTTTTTTTTCTTATTCAGACTTATTTGGATTTCCTGTATTTATGTGCTTCCTAAACAGAAAGTCAAATAAAATACTTTTATTTATTTGGTCGATATTTAAAATAAATTGTCAGTATTTATAGCAAATCAGAATTGTATTATAAAAATATATAAATTTGAAGTAAATCTGGATTAAAGATATTATAACATAAAATAATTCAATGATTCGTAGTTATTATTTATAGATTATACTTACATGATGACCAATGCATGATAAGGCAGCCAGAATGAATATCCGATTGTAAAGAAGTCAAGTAGTAGATAATTGCATATAAAAATTTTAAAGAATACATTTTTCTCTATCCATGTAGGCTAAATAATTTCTAATTGATTTTTAATAATCACTCAAATATTAAATAAATCTAATTTGTTTAAATATAAATATTATACAAATATATATACAATTTTATAATTTTGAATGAAGTAAGAATTACGTTTTTATTTTTGAAAGTTCTTCAAAAAGAGATATATGATATGCCAACCCAAAAAATTATTCATTGTATAAAATGGACCGAAAAGATTTTGAAAAACTACAGTGCGTAATACTTACTATAATATTTCTTATAGTACTTTGTTGTATATCATCCATTTTTGCACAACATTCTGATAATAATGTTTTATTGCAAAAATTCAAATGCATATACTATCATAAAAATATGTTTCATACATTGTATAAAAACACTACAAAAACTCTATGGAGATTACACAAGCATAATAATATTTTAATGACATTTATGCATTAATACCTTATGATTATATTATGTATTATATGTTCTCTTGTTTTCGATGAATAATCAAAAAATGAATAATAATTTTGTAAAAATATACAAAATTCTTCATTTTTGATAAACATATTAAGATATTCCAATAAAATATTTACCACTATTATTAATAATTATATAATAATAATAGGGCTAATAAATCAAAAATAGAAGATCAATTATTTTTGACTTTCACGATTAATTTAGTATGAGAAACTGTACATTAGTACATATCGCAATTTTAAGAAAAATAAATTTTGTAGTGTGTTCATTATCATATTACACCGTCATTATAATACATATTATAAGTATATTTTTTTTAATATCAAGAATATGCATTTTAAAGCATGTATATTATAATATGCTATTATTCTACTACTTCATTAATTTATTAGTACCAATTTATTTGAAATGTATCTTTAAACTATCCATGACTATTCAAAGCACCTGAACATTTTATGTATCAATGTAGTAAAATAGTAATAACATATTTATTATGTTTCGTCAAATCACTGTCATCCAGCAGTTTATTATTTTGAAACAATTACAAATTAAAAAAGATAAGCTAATATATGAGGACTTACATATTCTTAATTGATATCTTAATGTAATAAAAACAACAAAGTTTATAATTAAAATTAGTACAAATATTTATTATAAACTATGTAATATTAGGTTTAGAAGAATGTAATTATCTAGTCACACTTTGTTGCTTTCTCTTTAATCGAAATAAACACCTTGTTACATGATATATAAGCAGAAAGTGAAATAGTGCAGCATACAATATAAACTAGCTGCTCAGTTTTCACCTGGTTTGTACACTAGTTCAGTAGCACGTGCATTCAATGTTATAATTATTTCAATGAGACATATAATTTACAAAGCTTTAATATCTCATATTATAACGTACCAGTTAAAAAAAAAAATAAAAAAAAACTGATTATGTGTAAATAATCTTCACGTACTTATTTATATTCATGTATATATAATGACGCAAGACTTTAAAACTGTACATGTGAGAAGAATACTTATAATTAATATTAGAATACAAATATTCTTGATTAATGTAATACGTATTGTTTATTAATTAAAATGAATTAGTATAGCTACTGAAGTGTATAAACCTGAAAACTGAAACCTAATCTATACATTTCGTAACTGTAATCAAAAGTTGAAGGTAAAAAACAAATCAGTGCCAGGTCTTGCAATTTTGAATTAAAAATACTGTACAAGTTTTATCCTGGCAAAAATGTACAACCTGTTTTGAGTAATTTGCTTCCACGTTAAATAAACAATTAAGAATCAATAAGGCATACCAGATGATATTTGTAATTTCATTGATTTTAGGAAATATTATAAATGTCCATATATTATAAAGTATATGCATATGAAGTATATTTTTCAATTTTATTCTCAGAATTAAAAGTGCATGGAGAAATTTGTTGTTATCCAAACAATTATTTAAAACTATAAAGTTACAGAAATTCTTGTCTTCACAAACCCCAGTTAAATATTCGATAATTACTTTCATTCTTGTTGTTTACAGAATCATACTTTAATTTATTCAGTATATTCGTATATTTATGTATATATTTATACTGCTTGTTCATGTTATGCCCCTGAAACATTTTTATTGCAAACTACTATACTTTGACAAATTTCTTTTTTCAAAATACAAAACCAAATATAATGATTCCTTCGCAGATAATTATTATTAATTTTCAATTATTTTTAATAGCTATAATATAAACAATATTTTTATTGAAAACAAAGCTTTTCATTCTTAGACTGATTCTAGTATTGAATGCTACCAAACGAAAGCTCTTTTGTTTTTAATAGATATTTTTACTTGCATATATACAAAGCAGATATCTGCTTATTCCTTATAATCTAACATTATATTCGTAGCTTATAAACAATTTCATAGAAAATTTATGTGATTAAAACAATGTAATAATAATTACTTGTGAGCACGATAAACAAATTTGTACAATTTATTATGCGCGTTCTAATTAGTCTTACAGCTATACGACACAGAACGCTTATATGAATGAACTATATCAATCATGAAGTAGTGATTAGACCATTATTATGTTAATGAAATCTGTTCAATGGTCCTTAATGACTAAATTTTCTTCGTTTGACAAATCATATTATATTAGTTTACTATAAAGTTGTTGATCATAATCCTAAATGTGAAGTGGCACCGATTTTATATTATATATGCAATTATTATGTAGCATGCATAATTAAGTATACATGCATTTAATACATGACATATAAATATATACAAACATAATTATATGTATATATATAATATACATACATAAATATATATGTATATATAGAATATATATATAAATAATATCACCTGTACTTCATGAATTTTGAACCATAACTTATAATTATAAAAGAAAATCTTAGTAATAAAATATTGTAAATCATCAAAAATATCACCTAACGTTTGCTCTACATTTCAAATTCATTTTTATAAATCAACTTATTTCAATCTTAATATTCTTTAATAAACATTTACATTCTAATTTTATTATACAGAATCTTTCAAAACAAATAGATAAAGAATAAGATATTTTTGTAATGATTAAATATTGAATGAATTAGTTTTTTCATATTTTAGGTATTATAAATATTCAGTAACGATTCAATTGATCGATACTAATGAAATAGATTCATTACACATATATTATTTAGACCATTTTAACAGTAATTATGTTACATCATAATTATAGATATTTTTATCTTCTGTGAACAAGGCAGTTCATTATATATATCACTGGTAATTCATAACCAGTTTGGAATAGTTACAAGAAATAGGAAATTATAAATTCTAGTCCAAAACCCATTGCACAGAATAAGTTTAAAAGAAAGGAAAAAAGAAATCACACAAGTCTAATAAATATATCCTACTTTTATATACTTATCTCTACTTTGAGTTTTGATCTCTACATGTACCGGTACAGATCATTATTATTACACTGCACTATTAAACTGCCAATTTTGCACTTCTATTCGTTTATAGTTACAGTTTTGATTGTTTATTTTCCTTCTGAGAACTTTTCTCTCAAACTTTTAATCTTTAGTACAAAATATGATTCTAATGACTCTGCACACTTGAAAAACGGGGACTCTTTTGGATTGTAATATCGACAATTGTCAAATATTTTGGTCATATCTCCAATAAATTCACTTAGCTTCTTGTAGGATCTATCATTTATTCTTAACTCTATTGTTTGTAAATCTGAAAACAACGAATACGTATAAATGATATATATATTTATATATATATATATTTGATAAATACTTATTACTATTACTATTATTATTATTATTATTATTATTATTATTAGTTGGCATTTGGAATTCGAAAGTTCATTGCCGCAAATACCAAATCCCGCCATTGTTCCCGTCCCTGAGCGCGATCTTTCCATTTGCGGTCTTCGTATCTTATTTCTTTCAGGTCCCGAAATAATATTATCCTCCCATCTACGACTCGGTCTACCTAGTGGTCTTTTTCTGTTTGGTATACCGACCAATATTTTGTGCGCCGTTCGATCCTCCCCATGCGTGCCCCATGACCAGCTCATCTTAATCGGCGTGATTTTACGACGTTAATAATGTCCGGTTTGTTGTACAATCGATGTACTTCAACGTTATGGAGTTTTCTCCATTCGCCCGTTTTCTTATCGCGTTTTGCACCGAAGATTTTACGAAGAATTTTGTTTTCGGAAACCCTAAATTTCTTTTCGTCCCGTAAAGTAAGCAACCACGTTTCGCTACCATAAAGGACTACCGGCATAATGATTGTCCTGTATATCCTGATTTTTACTCGCCTAGACAGCAACCGCGAGCTGAGTAATTTATTAACCGAATAAAAACATGAATTGCCCAGATTGTTTCTTTTCTTAAGTTCTTCGTTAATTTCGTTCGTCTGGTTTATGATCGATCTTAAATACCTAAAGTTGCTGACCCATTAAAAAGTTTTATCCCGGACGACCAAATTTCCAGTACTAGACCTATTCTGAACTCTATCGGTTACCATATATTTGGTTTTTTCCGCGCTTATTTGCAGTCCCAGATCTTTAGTATTATCTATTAATATTTTTGCGTTTTTAATTAATGACTCTTCATTGTTCCCTAACAAAGCAATATCGTCCGCGTATGTCAACAATTGTGTTGTCCCGTTCAATTGTAGACCATCTTTACTTTTCTGCAGTTCTTTGACAGCAAATTCCAGTACTAAATTGAACAAAAGGGGTGACAGTGCGTCCCCCTGTTTTAACTCGCTATGGATATTAAAATCTTCCGACATTTGGTTACCTATTCTTACTTTACCCCTAGTTTCCTTTAGGCAAAGTTGAACAAGGTTGACCAATTTTCTTGGTATCCCCTGTCGTATTTGGATTTCGAGCATTTTTTCTCGTTTTACGGAGTCGTACGATTTTTGAAAATCTATATAAAGTTGATGTGCCGGCTGATTAAATTCTCATTTTTTCTCTAAGATCTGCCGAATAGCAAAAATTTGGTCTGTAATCGATCTATTTCACCTAAAACCGCACTGGTGATCTCCTATTATCTCGTCCGCATACGGTACTATCCTAGCTAGTAAGATGTTTGATAATATTTTGTAACACGTCGGTAAAAGTGAAATACCCCGGTAATTATTATGATCCATTTTGTCTCCCTTTTTAAAGATTGGGATTATAATCGACTCTTTCCATTGTTCCGGCAATGTTTCCTTGCTCCATATTAATTTGATTAATTCAAAAATTTCTTCGATCAATCTATTCCCCCCCCCCATTTTATTAGCTCCGCAGGAATCGCGAGTCGTTACCCCGGTGATTTATGATTTTTTAGTTTTTTAATCGCGCTTTTTACCTCTAACATCGTTGGTTCACTAACCATAGGTTCCGTCGTATGGAACTCGAAATTCTCAGTTTCCCGGTCGTTCTCAGATTCTACATTTAATAATCGATCAAAATAATTTTTCCACGTGTTCAATATTCTCGTTGTATCCGAAACTAGATTGTTGTTCGCATCTTTCACTAGATCCGTCCTAGCTTGGAATCCCTTTCTGAGTCTATTTATCCCCGCGTACATAACACGGAAGTTACTGCTTTGACAATTTTCATCAATTTCCTCAACTTTTTGTTTTAAAAATTGTCGCTTCTTGTTCTTAATTAAATTGTGCGTCGCTTGCCTAATATTGTAAAATAGGTCCCGGGTTAGATCCATGTTTTGGGTCAGCTACGAGATACGCGCTTCGTTTCGGACTTTAACGGCTGACTCGCATTCTTCATCGAACCATGGCTTGTTTTTGTGCCTTTTGCAAAAACCAACAATAGCTTCCGCCGATTTGACCATCGCGTCGCGTATGTTTTCCCATTTTTTATCCGTACTCTTGTCTGCTTCGTCAATTTTCTTTGCCGACGCGAGTCTTTTCGTTACTTCGGCCGCGTACTTTATTCCGTTTTCTCCCTCGATAGTCTTTTCTACGTTTATCCGTTTATTTCCTATCCGCTGTCCATTGGTCTTATTTACGGAAAGCCGTTCCCTCATCCTAGCAATAACCAAAAAATGATCCGAATCACAATCCGCCCCCCTGTACGACCTAACATCTAGTAAGTTCGTGTGTCATCGTTTATCTGCCAGAACGTGATCTATTTGGTTACGCGTATTTCCGCCCGGGGAAATCCAAGTTTGTTGATAAATACTTATTTTTGATAAATATAAATACATACCCATGGGTTCCTTTATGACTTTATAATAATCTGGAGCTTCATTTGGATCTACTGGTTCCATAAAAGGCCATGCACTTTTATGTGCCTAATTATAAATTCAAAAATAAGTTTTTGTTAAAAAGAAAAATACCCATTTAAAAATAGAAATATATAGAAAAAAATGTAAGAGCAGTATAAGATTTAAATTGATAAGATGTATTTACCTGTATCTGTTTAATTAGTTTTTTCAGCAAATCCAAATCTTTAGCATTTAGATTTTTCATATTTGCAAAATTCACAGAAGAATTACGTTGACAATTAGGACATACATATTCATCAATATTGTCTGCTTCTGATTGAAGAATACCAACGCATCTTCCATGGAACCAGTCTTGACATTTATCGCAGCAAATGTAAAACCTGGTCAAAATAAGAATTGATTTTTTTACAGGGTGATTCTTTGAACGCAGGCGGGTAATAACTTTTTTTTAACTAACAATAGAAAAAAATCATAAAGGAAAAAGTTATATGGCACAATAAATGTCAACTTTCTATGACCTTCCTTTTTTTGAAAATACTTCGATGCACCCGCTAGATGCAGTTGCACTTTTTTTTTTTTTAATGGAACTTTATATTTCTTTTTACACTATTCGATTCCTTTTTTTATTCTGCGTTAAAAAGTATTAAGTGAAGGTCATCAAAATATCAATAGTTTACGAGATATTTGAAGTTATATAAAGAGCATATAACAATGTATTGTTCCAATATCAATTCAAATCAATTAAAAAATGTAATGAAAAATGTAAAAAAGAGCAATAAAATGTGCGCATCTAATTGTTTAGAATGAAATGGAGAAACATTCGAACATTTATTGTAATAAAATACATTACTGATATAAAACTCCAAATATCTCGTAAACTATTTGTGCGTAAACTGTACTGCAAAAATAACTCGTAAACTGTTGTGCAATATAACTTTTTCCTATATGATTTTTTTTTCTATTGTTATTTAAAAAAAAGTTTCGCCTCCGTTCCAAGAATCACCTTGTTTGTATACGAATATTTTATAAGAAATTAATAAGAATAGTAACAGTATTCGGTTAACAAATTTCTTAGCTCGCGGTTGCTGTCTAGGCGATTAAAAATCAGGATATACAGGACAATCATCATGCCGGTAGTCCTTTATGGTAGCGAAACGTGGTTGCTTACTTTACGGGACGAAAAAAAATTTAGGGTTTTCGAAAACAAAATTCTTCGTAAAATCTTCGGTGCAAAACGCGATAAGAAAACGGGCGAATGGAGAAAACTCCATAACGTTGAAGTACATCGATTGT